TTAGGCTCGAGAAGGAAAGCAAATTATTTTCTCTTGTTTATATTTACTTACTGATGTAAACTTCTTGAAGTAGTTTGTTGAAGGACAGAGAAGAGAAGAACTAAATGACATGTGGTTGTTTGAAACATCTTGACATGAAGATGCAAAGACTCTGAAAGGTATCAAAATAAAATAAAATAAATGTCACATGCGCCGAATACAACAACTGTAGACTTTACCGTGAAATGTTTACTTACGAGCCATTTCCCAACAAAGCAGTTAAAAAGTACGAAAATTAGCAAATAGATTAAAACATTTTTTTACACAATAAAATAACAATAACGAGGCTATATACAGGCTATATACAAGGAGTACCGAGTCAGTGTACAGGGGTACAAGGTAGTTGGGGTGATTGATTGAGGTAATATGTACATGTAGGTTTGGTTAGGTGATTGATTAAAGTACTTTGCACATGTGGGTAGGTCTTTCACAGACACAAATATGAATTGTGTCGTGTAAGTCTTGCCCATAACCAGACGGTGTATTTTGGGGTTAAAGTCTTCACTTTCTGGTGTCCTCATCAACAATTCCCCTCACATACAACTGTATATTATGACAGTGCTTAGGGGCAGTCTGGTATTATGAAGACAGAAGAGGTGGGTCTTGTTCTTTTAATTTTTTAGTTATCAATTTTTTTACTTAACACTTATTTTTCTTAAAACTGCATTGTTGGTTAAGGGCTTGTAAGTAAGCATTTCACTGTAAGGTCTACACCTGTTGTATTCGGCGCATGTGACAAATCAAATTTGATTTGATTTTAAATAAAAATGGCTGATGCATTAAAGCTTCCCTAATTAGATATTCACAGTTCACACCCTTCAATCGTCCCCAGAAGTAAAGCACCCAGCTCCAGCCCCAGCTCCATGACCCTGAGTTTGATGAGTCACGCCTGATATCATCCATCCAGACTCATGATTACATTTTCCTGCTGCAATTTGCAGAGATTTAATAATTGATGTGGTCTTTGTTGAATTGGAGGATAATCTGTTGCCTACAGAGCCAGATAGGGACAACTCATCTGCTAATGTCTTACGGCAGGACCAGGCCTGTGTGTGTGTATGCGCGCGTGCGTGTGTGTGCGAGTGTGCGCGTGCATACATGTGTGTGGTGTGTGCGTTTGTGAGTGTGTGTATGTGTGTGTCGGCGTGCGTGTGTGCTGTGGGATGATCCATGATGGTGCAGCTAATCAAGGAGACGGCCCAGCCAGCCTCATCTCTCCTCGGATGTAGAGTAATGGCCTGTAGGAGACTGTAGGAGGCACCACTGGGGCAGAGAGGAGCACCACACTCACAGATTAAAGTCATCATTCACCCACTCTTACTGAATAGGATACTGCCCCTAGCCCCCTTCACGAGGATGTTGAGGGAGCTGGGAGTTGGTACAGATGTACATGTACAGGAGTGGTGGTAGAATGGTGTTCTCAGATGGTTTACTGTCTCTCCTGTGAGTCCCCTCTATCTCTTTCTCCATTTCTCTCTCTCCATATATATATATATACAGTTGAAGTCGGAAGTTTACATACACCAAATACATTTAAACTCAGTTTTTCACAATTCCTGACATTTAATCCTAGTAAAAATTCCCTGTCTTAGGTCAGTTAGGATCACCATTTTATTTTAAGAATGTGAAATGTCAGAATAATTGTAGAGAGAATGATTTATTTCAGCTTTTATTTATTTAATCACATTCCCAGTGGGTCAGAAGTTTACATACAATTAATTAGTATTTGGTAGCATTGCCTTTAAATTGTTTAACTTGGGTTGAACGTTTCGGGTAGCCTTCCACAAGCTTCCCACAATAAGTTGGGTGAATTTTGGCCCATTCCTCCTGACAGAGCTGGTATAACTGAGTCAGGTTTGTAGGCCTACTTGCTTGCACACACTTTTTCAGTTCTGCCCACAGATTTTCAATAGGCAGGGGCTTTGTGATGGCCATTCCAATACCTTGACTTTGTTGTCCTTAAGCCATTTTGCCACAACTTTGGAAGTATGCTTGGGGTCATTGTCCATTTGGAAGACCCATTTGCGACCAAGCTTTAACTTCCTGACTGATGTCTTGAGATGTTGCTTCAATATATCCACATACAGTGGGGGAAAAAAGTATTTAGACAGCCACCAATTGTGCAAGTTCTCCCACTTAAAAACATGAGAGAGGCCTGTCATTTTCATCATAGGTACACGTCAACTATGACAGACAAAATGAGGAAAAAAAATCCAGAAAATCACATTGTAGGATTTTTTATGAATTTATTTGCAAATTATGGTGGAAAATAAGTATTTGGTCAATAACAAAAGTTTCTCAATACTTTGTCATATACCCTTTGTGTCACGGTTCAGACAGACGACCAGAGGACCACAATTGCGTCACACCAGAAAGTTTAATAAAACTTAAGGGAAAAGGGAAGTAGGGAGTGAATGAAGGCTCCAGGGGTAACAGGGATCCCGTCCAATGTGCTGGGTCTGTGCCTCCCCCAGTGGCAGCGATGCGTCCTATGAAGCCGGTGGTGGGTGGTCCAGAAGTCCTGGGGGGGGGAGACACAGACACAACAGGGCGGAATGAAACAAGGCAGCAGTACAGTTCAAGGGAAATCCAAAATACGTAGTAGCAAGGCAGAAGGCTGGTCAGAGTTACCGGGATTGAAGAGTAGTCAGGAGTCGTAATGGCAGAAGCAGGCGTCGGTCCCAGGGTGCAG